ACACACACACACACACACACACACACACACACACACACACACACACATTAGGATGCACTTATCTTGGCCCAGGGCCCAGGCCCAGGGCTTTAATCTACAAAAGATACCATCTCCATTTATATCTTAAGAGGCCATTTAGTCTCGAATTGAGTTTTTTTGCCAGTGGGTTGAAATCTTTCCCCTTTTTTCTTTGCCTATCCGCTTTAATTTAATTGTATTGAAACAAGTAAAATGTAGGAAAAAAAATTACAGTTCTGGATTCTTAAAACAAACAAAGTGAATAATCTCAGAGTCTTAGGAACATTTTAAAGGGCCAGTGCGTACAAAATGTTCTGCTCCGCAGCACAAAAATGAGTAACCGTGTTAAATCTGAAAGTCATCATGGAGTTATTGACTCCTCCATCACCTGACAGGAGCTCGTTTCGGGTGATAAACACTAACTTTCTGGCCTTATCTCTGTCTGTGAGCGAACTCTCTCCGTTTTTCAGATTTGGAGTTGCGAGACATTTGCGCTGCAACGACTGACAAAGCCTCATTCTCGAGTCAACAAAGAACAAGGACAAAGCAGCATCATAATTACGGGGCTCTGCATGGTGACATGCTGAAATCCCTCTTCACATGGACGCTCCTGTCTGCTGGATCTTTGCTCTCATTGGCCAGCTGACTCATGTCTGTTATGACATTTATTTGGACTTCATTGTTCACGTCAATTACAGGGTTAACGGACGCTGAGATGTTGTTTTGCAACTCCCACCAGAGACACGCAGAGGTTGATAAAAGTCAAATCTTACGTAACGCTCCTTAAGGACTCGATACAAGACGAGCACAGACACAAACAGACGACACAAGAGATGCATTTTCCCAACTGTAACTCTGCCGATGAAATGAAAAAGACTGATCATTTACCAGCAACCGGTCATGCCGATGCTTTATTTTTAAACCTCAAGAGATGTGTGGGTCATGATTTAAGTGATGCTTCACACACCCACGTACACACCCGCCCGTATACACACACACACCTGCACTTACGGTCCTTTCACTTGGAGAGCTTTTGCAGAGCGATTTGAAGTAGCTCAATGGAAGTGTTTGTGCTGCCGTAATCTCTCTCCTCGCTCGAAAAAGGGGGAGGAGAGGATAGTTGTGTGTGTGTGTGTGTGTGTGTGTGTGTGTGGGAGTAAATACTTGTCACGACTAGCTGTGAATGATACTGCTGTGTCAGAGTGGCAAAATATGGGGCAAGTGGATGTGGGGGTTTTCTGACTTTTTGATAAAGGTTAAAGCTGTTTTTAATCCATAATAGCTGCTGGGGTGGAACAAAAGTGTCTCCCCAGCGGTCTGTCTTTTCTCCCACTTTCCTTTTATTTTATTTCATGTTTTTCCCTCGACTTGCATTCGGAGCAAGATTTAAGTCGATTTCCTAGTTTAAAGTTCAGATTTTTAATGAAAAAAAAAAAAGGATTCCAAGGAGCAGAACGGTTCGCAATTATTGTATTTTCACCTGATGCAAGAAGATATTAATCATTTTAGTTCCCATTAAACTTTGTTTTCTTGTGATGACCAGAACTTCTTACAGTAGTAGAAAGAATTTGTTGAAACATGCAAATGAGCTTCTGGTTATGCACTAAAATAATAATTTGAAGAATATTTAAATGGTGCTTAACCTAAAGAGCAGTTGCATTTTTCTATATTCAAAATAAAAACTTAAATAATGAAGTCCAGCGATGAAAGCAATCACAATTCCATCTCTGCCTGACCTCATCAGGATGAGTTCGTTTCTTCCCCGCTGAGAGAAGAAAGTGGGACTTGATCATAAACTGGGACAGGCGTTCTCACCGGACATCCGACGATGAGGTCGCTGGCCCTGAGGTCCTCGCCGTGCCGCTGAGCGTGTCTCAGGATGGAGAGGGCGGAGTCGGAGGCGGGGTTTATCCCACCCAGCTCCTCCAGGGCCTCGCAGTACTGCTCCAGTCTTTGAGTGGGAGCCTGGAGACAGTGCGGGAAGGACAGGGGGGAGAGGGGGGAGGCCGGGGGCAGTTTGGACTGCAGGAGGGGGAGAGGGGAGTTGCGGGAAAAGGAAAAGCTGTCTCTTATTTCATCTCAACGTCATATCCAGACTATAAAATACCATAAATAGCACAAAAATAGCATCCCTGTAGTAGTCTACAATCTCAGTCATTTACCATCATGCATTGCACAGAAAGAGAAAAGAAGGGACATTTAGACAGTTGCCAGGTTTGATTTTTGCCCTCTGACATACAGTATACAGGGCCCTACTTTGTGAATAGTATGTAGATTCGTTTTTTGGGGCCTTTTTTTGTCTCCTTTCTTTGTCAGAAAATACACTGAAATAACAATAGTTCTGAATGTACAGCAAAAAAAAACAAAAATCAACAACAAAACAAAACAAAAGCTATTATGGTGGAATAAATCGAAACAGTACAAAGATAATGACATCTCAATGGGTTTCTTTCTGAGTGAGAAGCCGTGTCAACGTGGCCACATGTGCTCTTCCTGTCTCCATCCTCGTAAAAAAAATCTTTACCACCGTCCCCAAAATGATCGCCATCATCGCGTGCATCACGATAACCATAAACCCTCCTGCTGCCATCATCCACAATCTGTTCAAGCTCCTTTTTAAAAGCTGTGACGTGAACTCACACCACCTCCTGCTGGCCGTTTCATAGAAGTGCTCCTTTATGAGACACTCGACAACCTGAATGGGATCTTCAGCGCTGTGATCTCTCCCCGTAAAGTCCTCTCGGTAATCTCCCGATGCCGTCGATGTATCAGTTTTAGTTAATTGTAGCTTGCACGCTCAAATTAGTTTCTCTATAATCCGCCTTTAATTGGCTTTTCTAGTGTACATTAAACATGTAATTAGCTTTACTGTACACTGCTCCTTTTTTAATTGCAGCAACCATTGAATAAAGCAACTTTAATTGCTTTGTGCTTGTGATGTGCCCCAAAATTACTCATAATCACGTTCTCACGTTGTGGTTTAACAAGATTTTTTAAAAGGGAAATAACCAAATAAAAACGTTATGACCCTCTATGACACTAACTCTATTGTGTGTATAGATCCAGCAGTGTGTGATCATCATACTGTTCGTCAGTGGAAACGTTTACTGATGTGAGTCAACAGTAGAAAAGCAGGACAAACTGGTTCAACTCCTCAGATAGAAACACTTCTGCCAAACAAATCGATGTCGGCACAACAAGTTGATGCTTTAGGTATTAAAGGGTTTAATCAGACTGCAGCAACTTACCTTAAAGAAGTCGGCAGCCTGAGTGACCAGCGGAGAGTCCAGTTCTGGTTTGTTCCTGATGTAGTGGGAGTACTGCAGAAACTGCTCCCGCTGTGTGTGAGGGAGAAATAGAAACGAGAGAACTTTTATACCGCCTTTAATATGAAATGATCAAGAAATGAGTTCACGAGGCAAATTATAAATGCTGTCTTGAAAAACAATGCATTTGCCTGCCATGATAACACGTCTTTATCTATGTGTTTCCACACAAACGTGAACAAACCTGCCACAAAGTAGATGAAAAATGAAATCTTTAACATACACACACACTTACAATTCTACATCAAATCTTCTATAAAATACAATGAGGTCCTTAACAAAGTTAACACTGTTCATTTGAGGGCACAGCTGTATGCATGCATAATTGGTATGCATCAGTGGTATCCAACCTGAGGGTCAGGACCACCCAAAGGACCTAAGAATGGGCCTCAAGATTCTCATTGAATGAATTCGTACATTTTTTATTTTTTATTTCTCGTCAAATACTGGATCGTTCACATGAACTATGACGGGTTGCAAGAAGCTGCTGCCTTTTTAGGGGGTGACAAGCTAGAGAGGTTGGGTCCAAGTAGCCAAAAAGTGATGGCTTAAACAACATAAATAAAGCACAGATTTGAAAAACAATGCGTTTTCCTATATATTCCTGAACTTACATATTTGCTGAAGCAGTCCTGTTGCAACAAGCTCTGCACGAGAGCGCCCTCCATGGCAGGGAGCAGGTTCTGCGAGTGGAAGGCGCTGAGGCTGGCCCAGTTGGGCAAGAGGGTGTCCGCCTTCCCCCTGACGGAGGCCGGGGTGTCTGAGAGCTCCAGCAAGGGGAGGTACGTCTCTTCCACCCCCTTCAGGATGGCCACATACTGCCTCTCTGAACTCAGCATCCTGCACCAGAGCAGGTAGAGTTTACTGCGGGAGAAGCCGAGAAACAAGGAGACGATAAGGAGAGCGAGCGCGATGGATGAGTGAATTTACAGACGAGTGAACAAACTTGGGAGAAGTGGGAGGGGAAGAGGAAGTGAAGATAGTAGTGAGCGATGGCCAGAGATCAAACAATAATAATCAAATTATCTGAGATTGAATGCTGACTGATAAAGTTGTTCTGAAACAGACTTCAGCTGAAAAAGGATGAATCTCTTTATTTTATCTCAGCCTGGCCTACTCTTAATGTAATTTACAATGTTGGTCTCAGTCAACTCAAACCTTCTCTCGCTTATTTGCCTTATAAAGTGCTGACACAGAAAACAAAATGCACACAAGAAGTGCCTTTTATTGAAGCAAAAGAAGCAAAAAATGACGTAAAACGCACCTCTGTGCAGTTGATCCGGCCCTATCCGTCCCCGTCTCCCTCTCCGTCCTCCCCAGCAGCACGTGTTGACGTGGTGACCCCGTGTGGTCCACCACCTCCTTGCTGCTGACTTCCACCCCTCGAATTAACACCCCTCCTCCTCCTCCTCCTCCTCCTCCTCCTGCGCCCCATCCAGGGATGGCTGCAGCCATGCTAGTGGCGATCACTGGGTCAGCTACCGTCCGCCTCCCCAGCCAGGACATGGGGGAGTTGCGGCTCACCCCGCCCACCGGGGACTCGGCAGGCTTGGGGGAGGCCGTGCCTCTGCGGGGAGCCAGGAGAGCCTGGAGGTCAAAGCTCGGGTGGCGCTTCCTGGGCGGCTTGGAAGGGAGCGGGGCCTCTGTGGGCTGAAAGTTGAGGGACATGGTGATATTTCTGAAAAGGACTACAAGGACAATATTAAGTGCAGCTCAATACAAAATGAAACACAAGCTCACGCTCTTCTTCGTAGGATTCAGAAGGTTCTGCAGGAACTTCCCTCCTCCGGCTCCGCCCACTCCTCCTCCCCCTGCTCCCTCCTTCTTATTCCCCTTCTCCTCTCCTATCTTCAGTGTGGAGCAGGTCTGCGGTCTGAACAGCGATGCCAGGGATCCCCAAGACTGCATCCCCCCGTCGCCTCCTCCAGCTCCCAATCCCCAGTCGCCCTCCCCCTCAGGACCCATCAGGTCCCACAGGCTGGTGGCAGACGGCGTCTTCGGCCTCCCCTGGCTCTGATTCTGGGCCCTGTCCGTCTGGAGGAACCGGGGTTTGACCTGCGCCACGGTCCGCTGGTAGCGCTCCACCGTCTGCGTCCAGAGATCCAGGAGCGCCCCGCCGCCAAGCTCTATGGCTAAGGAACGGGCGTCCTGGAACCGGGACGGCGGGATCGGAGGGAGGGAGGCGAGAGGGCAGGTGGAAGAGGGGGAGGAGGAGGTGGAGAAGACCACCTCGCACCACTGGGTGGCCTGGGGGACGGGAAAGAAAAGATGACTCTTGTTTCTCCCTTAGGAATGTTTGAAAACCATTAATGTGTGATCATAACTTCCAGCGTTACCTCGGTCAGCGTGGACAGCAGCCTCTGTGTGTTGTCCAGGGTGGTCCAGCAGTCAGACAGACAGTGGGACATGTCTCTCAGCTTCTCCCTGACCGGGGGAAGTCGGATCTGGACGGCCCTCAGGCCCGCCCAGTCCAGCTCGCACCAGCCCTCCATATCGCTGAGCACCGACAGAGTCTCGCTGTGCAGCTCCTAAAGGAGTCAGGGAGAACCACTGTGAGGTCTCTGCCCTGGAAAAACTCCTCAAGTGTTTACTGTAGGAGGCTTGACAAGATGCATTTGGGAAACCATGAATGGAATCATGGCGACTGCTTCTGCTGGGAACATCCTGACAGACTTCTACATTAGCCACAAGAATGATAAATACACCACTGAACAGCAAAGTGGGCCAAAAACACATCTGTTGACATTTAAATTTCTATAGTTTAGTTATTGACTCCTAAAGTGTTTCAGCCATAGAACATTACTTTGCTTATCTAGACAGGGATGGTACACTTAAATGCCATACTGTTGTTTAAATGTCCAGTTTAACCCTATGTGACAGCATCCACTTTGACCACAAGTGGTCTTTTGAATGATGCTGATGGGATTACTTTTGTGTCATTCTTGGTTCTATGACGCTGAACAAAGGGATTCTTGTATCCTAAACATAGTACATTGAAATACTATGTCTATCATTGTGTACACATACACACATATGCAGACGATTCCATGCTGCGCAAGCGGTTTCACGTATTCTGCACCAAAAAAAAAGCAGAGCAACACTCACGTTGGCCGTTTCTCTGAATGTCTTGAATTTCTGCTGTTTGAGCGAGAGTCTGCTGAGAGACAGAGGAGGGTCCTTGTAGTCTTCCAGCTGTGACTGGACTTGCTCAATCTCCTTATCACACTAGGGTATAAGAGAGAGGGGTGAGGGGAGGACACAAGGCTTTTTACTGGACATGAGGGACAAAGAGAGAGACGAGGGAAGTGAAAACACTGCGGTGGAGAAATGTACGTGAAGTGTAATTATGATTTGTTTTGCCATAATTGAAATGTTTTTTCCCAGTATACTGGATTGCATTGGACATATTGTATTTGTCTTGTTCTGCTGTGTGTGAGCAAGACAAGGGTGAGGAGTGAGCACATATTGTAAATCAGTAAACACCAGCACATCAGGGCGTTTCCATCCAAACCCTGTTGGGAGCAGTGGAGAGGAGCAAGGACGAAATGATGCGTAAACTCTGAATTTGATCCTTCATCTAATTTCCATGGCTGATGGCTGATTTTATAGTTCATACAGTAGTTTAGTTCTTGCGATTCAGCAGGCGAGAGACAGCAGCAAACAGTCGAAATGAGAACAAAACCACACTCTTCCTCCCTCACACCTTTTCCAGTTTGTCCACCAGCCCCGCTAGTCGTCCCAGAGCTTCCAGGTCGCGACCCCTCTGGTTGGACACTCGGACGAGCCGGTGCAGGGCGTCATCCACGCTGTCATAGAGTTTAGAAGTCGTGGCGAGAGCAGCCCTGAATGCAACAAAAGGCAAAAATGACCAGGCAAATCTTCACTCATGAACAGGAGCGAGAAGCTTATTTATTTTTCCTATTCTAATTCTGATGACAATGAGAACTTGTCGTCGCCAAAAAAATCAACATTTTGGCTGGTAGAAATGATGTAATCTAAAAAAAACAAAACAAAAGAGCCTTGCACACCAACTGCCACGCAAAAAAAGAAGAAGGATTCAAATCAGCAATCAGCCTATACTTGTATTTGGCCTCCTCTCTTGTCCAGACTGAGCCAAAACTCATTACTGGATACGAAGAACAGCTACAAATACTGCAGTCTTTAGATCATCTTTAAGCTGGCGTCGGCCGCAAACAAACAAGTCCTCTGTTTGATGTTAAGTTCACATTCCTTTCTCTCCTCCGGCTGGTTTTCTATTTTTTTGGGGGGCTGAAAACACGACGAGAAGTATTTTTAACCTACAACTCACTGTGACAGAAAAAACAATCCCTCAATCAAATACAAGAAGTGGGAAGGCAAAGGACATGCAGATCGCTTTTCTGCCCCTCGGGACCAAGCTGCCTGTGTAAGGTGCGTTCTGCACGTCTGTGCATTAGCCCGATTAGAATAGATGTTTGTCATGACGTCTTTGTATTTACAATAGTCCGACTTCAGTAGGCCCGTGTTGTAATGTATATTCCAGCCGTGCACAGTCTCATTAGCATCATAACAAGAACAAGCGTATGCAGGTGCACACATTGCTGCTGTAAATAATGAGTCTTGTCATACAACGGTACATATACCGAATATTATTAGACAATTTCTTTCACTTATTTCTATGATAATGACCAATTCCTTGTATGAAGATACATTCGCTGATTGTGGTGATTTTCAGTGTTGTAAAACACGTAGGGTTTCACAGTGTTAAGTATGCGGCAATAATGTTGCTATGTTTGGTTCTATTTGTGAATTTAAGTACTAAGTTGACCCCCAACAACACGCCACAGAATTTGCATCTTTTGACAAAAAAAAGGGACCAAAGTTCGAGCACAGCGTAAAGATTCCAGTACCTGCAGTCTGGGGACTTCTGTGCCAGTCCAGTTGCACTATTGGTCAGTCCCGCGAGCCATGCCCCGCCCCTTTGCTGCGGTTCCGTTAAGCGTGGGTCGGCCAGGACGCTCGCCATGAGCTGTCTGTGTTTGTCGATGCTCAAAGGAACAGCCTGAAGAAGAGCAACGTGCTTAATTGATTGTTTGTGTGTGGAATCCTCCAACTGTCACGTGTCATTAAAATCGCCGATACAGCGATACTGTAAAGGCGATGTCAGACGTTAGTACCTTGATGTCGTCTGGCATCGGCTCAGTGTCCATAGACCGCAGTGCTTCTCCGAGGAGTGCGATGGCACTCTCGCAGTGCTCCGTCAGACTCTCCAGGCTCTGCAGGGAAAAAACAAGATAAAAAGTAAGATTCAAATCAGTAGTTTTGAGATTAGCATTTTACTTTTTCCATCAAAATAACTCAAAACACATAAAGAAAGTAAAGCAGACACAGGTTAGTGCATGACCTCCTTTCCCTTGATTTATCATCCACACCCAGTTCATCGCGAATCTCTGAGATCATCGACCACCACCGGACAAACCGACATCCTCTTATCTGTCCTTTCTCCTCTCCTTCTCCCACTCTACTCCCTCGCTTTTCATGGTCGTATGTTCAACTTGAGGTACATAAAACTTGTGGCGGTGATAACTTACAGCCGATTGACGCTGGTGGTAAGTCTCCAGCTGTGTTACAGTACAGAAAAGCTACTGTGTGTGTGTGTATAAGACTCAAGACTGTGAGGCTGCAACATCCATTGTGGGAGAGAATGGCTTAGGTTAATACAAATGAAATAAATCTGAATAATTTCACGGAAGCATAGATATCAATCTTAAATGCCTGAAGTGATTTCCTGCTCAATTTCCTCAAGACCAGTCGAATGCACGCTGAGGTCAGTGAATCGGTCCAAGTGAAAAATGTCATGGAAAATGGAAAAATAACTACAGCATGTGTAGAAATTTAGGAGAAGAGTAAGAGGAAATGAATAGGAAAGTATTGTATATAAGCAGCGGATTCTCACTAGTCTGAAGGCCAGCCAGTCTGAGTGGCAGTGGGGGAAGTCTCCGTCCATCTCTTTGGGCAGCTGCTGCTTGTCAACATATTGCTGAAGGACAGCTGTTCCTCGCACCATGTGGATCTGGACAGAACAGGAGATGAGAAGAAAAAAATAAGTGCGTTTTTGCTAATTTATCAGCAGGAATAAAAATCATTACAACAAGAAAAGACAAGAGCGACATGGCGTGCGGCTCCAACGTCTTTTGGGTGGGATTTCCCTTTAACATGCAACGTTTTAACACTGCCAAGCTGAAATACAAACCACATGGCAAGAGGAAAAAATCTCATGCGTGTGTGTGAGAAAGAACTCTGCTGATCAGTGCAAAACAATGAGCTGAATTGCCGGTAAAATACGAGATATCTGCAAACTCTAGATGTGCAAAACGTATGGAAATAAGGCTCATTTAGATTCAAGCACAATGTGAACGCCTGAACCGGCTAACAGCAGCTGACATTTATCACATTTTAGCAAGGGACAGAAAACAAAGCACGGTGTATGAAATGTTATTTGAATTTCATATATCAGCAGATATCCCTGCGGTTATGCCAGCCAATGGAGGTTCATTTTGCAAATGTTTACCCGCACACTTTATCACTGTTGTTTTGACATGTTTTCATAAGTTCCTTCTGGGTGTTCTACCTGCGTTTTAACGCTTAGACGTGCAAATAAAAGGAATAAAAATGAACTGCACCAGGAGGAAAATAACAACGCTATGTGTTGTGTGTTTGCTGGATCATAAACATGCTACATGTTCTGTATGAGGTCACCTCTGCTCCTTCCACATCATGAGAAAGGGACTCCTGCTGCTCTCCCACCAAAACCAGAACAGATCCAAGACCGCCAGGAACCGACACCTGGCACACACCAAAAACACATTGGGGGGAAGAAAACATGCGCTTGAGCTACTTCATCACATCTGCAGGCTAAATAGAGCAACACAAGCAATCATTTAGCACATTTGGCCAAAGTTTTCATCTCACCTGGAACAATTTAAGAGCAGAGAGGCAGAGGGTGGAGGGCGGAGAGCGTCTGCTGTCCATTAACACTGTGAGACCTTTTTCTTTGGCTGTAGGCCTGATGAGGATGTATGGAGGGTTCAAACAGGAGCAGTAGTTAGAAAAGAAAGAGTTTGTCTAAAATGAGATCCTGCAATGTAAAAAGTAAAGAAGAAAGATGTCTACTCTTGAAAACAACACTTTAGGGGACAGTTAGGGGGTCATCTGTATTTTAACCTTAACATTTAACATTAAACATGTTTCTTCCCAAACCTGCTGTGAAACTTTTGTTCAGACTTGTGAGCAACAGCTGTATGGTGAATTGTGAAAGGTAAACTGGCAAGCTCCAAGATGTTTGCTAAATTCACTGTGAATCAGTTTCATGATTTTCTCGGCCTCCTGGCACATGCTGCGCTTTCTTAGCCCCACCTTTTGCTGCATTTGGCCAAGTCAGCAAAAAGCAAGTCAAGTCAAACATAATAATGTCGCACTTTTGGCTGAACAGGTTTGTAAAAGAGTGGTGCAACCCACCAACTGGGAAAGCAGAGGTTGAATCTGGGACATGTTATGGTATGAAATGAATAAAATATGCACTTTAAGGCCTGCTACACTGACAATCCTTAATCCCAGGAGATATCTAACATATTGTGAAGCCTGAAACATACCATTAAAACCAATGACTTATATCTCATCAAAAATACAACCTTACCGAGTGATTCTGTGGTAGCAGGCCAGGACCCGGGCCATCTGCTCCTCAGAGAAGCTCTCCTCGGATGCATCTGTTTCTGTGACCACCAGAGCGCGTCCCAGCCTGTCCACTGTACCTGTGGTCAGTATGATAAAATAAGAGAAAGGTCTAAAACTCTGGGACTACAACCAGTCTGCAACATTGGTTTATTTGTTTTATATATACACAGTGGGTACGGAAAGTATTCAGACCCCTTTAAATTTTTCACTCTTTGTTTCATTGCAGCCATTTGCTAAAATCAAAAAAGTTCATTTTATTTCTCATTAATGTACACTCAGCACCCCATCTTCACAGAAAAAACAGAAATGTAGAAATTTTTGCAAATGTATTAAAAAAGAAAAAATGAAATATCACATGGTCATAAGTATTCAGACCCTGCCTTTCCTAATCAAGTCCAATCAGTTTAATTAAACACAGCTGGACTCCAATGAAGGAGTAGAACCATCTCAAGGAGGATCAGAAGAAATGGACAGCATGCGAGTTAAATATGAGTGTCACAGCAAAGGGTCTGAATACTTATGACCATGTGATATTTCAGTTTTTCTTTTTTAATAAATTTGCAAAAATTTCTACATTTCTGTTTTTTTCTGTCAAGATGGGGTGCTGAGTGTACATTAATGAGAAATAAAATGAACTTTTTTGATTTTAGCAAATGGCTGCAATGAAACAAAGAGTGAAAAATTTAAAGGGGTCTGAATACTTTCCATACCCACTGTATAAGTGGATTTATGGACGTTCATCCACAATGGACATCGGAGATCCGTGGATAAAGTAGGTCAAACTGAATCTAACAGTATGTATATCATGCATGTATGTTAATCTGACAGTTAGGGGTCAAGACCTTCTAGCCCAAATATGTGTACTGGACAAAGACAAACAACAACAACAACAACAAAGTCACACATCTTAACACACAAGATTAACTGGCTGTCAAAGTATTAGTTTTGAGCTGAATGCTAACTAGCATAACAAACATACAGGCCTACTTGCCTGTCAACTTTAGCTTCCCTGACTGGAGAAGCTCTGTGTCCAGTTCCCTCAGCAGGGGAGGATCTTTAGCTGTAACACCATTTAGTTGGTCGGGACATGACTCTCCTGAGCCTGCCTCCTCATTGGAGTGGTTAAGTAAGGATGTGCCTGATTGGCCGTTGCAGACAGGCAAAGATTTGGCTTCTTTCTCTGTTGAGGGATACAATAGTTACAGAAAGTATTCCATGGGGTATTTTAGAGATTTTAGCATCTGATGCTCATACATTATCATTCTTCAGACCTGCACTGCTTTTCCTTGTGTCCTCTGTCCCCTCAAGAGTTGAAGGTGGCACTCCGTCAGGTTGGTCTGCCTGTTTTCTTTGCTTCGATTGGTTCTCCTCTGTGATTGGCAGCTTTGTCAAAGCAGAGCCGGTGGTGGGACTTGGCTGAACAGCTTTACCTTGCGGTTTTGATCCCTTTTGGTGTGCACGACCACCAGACCTAGCCCTCCTTTTGGCCCCCTTTCCCTTCCTTTTCCTCCTAAAGACAAAGCACAGGAAGGTACTAATGAGGTACAACGGACAGTTAATAATTTGTACAAATTTAGAAATGTGTTTATTTGGACACAATGTCCTTTAGAATGGTTTAGAAGGTGTCTTTTGTACCATTGGTTTCAGGCCTATATGTGTGTAAGTTTGGACGACTTGTACGCAAAGTTTGCACCAAATTGTTACTGATCTGTACTTTCACAAATTAAAACAAATAGGAAGTAGGAAGGCCCATAAGAAATAAGTCTGACCGTGGTGCTCTGAATCCTGCAGTTTTAACTTCCTTTCCTCTGGGACAAACTCCTTCCTCAGTCTTTCCGTCATCCCTTTTCTCGTTCACCTTTGGGTTGGACGAATTCTTCATTTTAGATCCAATGTTGGTATTTTCTCCACTGTCTGAAACTCCAGTGAAGGGTCTCTCTGGTGCGTCTGATGTTGGGGTTGTGGCATCACTGTCTCCGCTCAGTGGTTTATCTGTATCCTCAAAAACAGAGTCTGAATGAGATCCGTGATCTGAGTGGCCCTCTATGACATGCTCAACTTTGTGGTTCGTCAAGTCATGGACAGAACTATCGGAGTCTTTACCCCTGTGGTTGTCTCTGCACGGCTGCATGAGGCTGTTGCTATCTCTCTCCTTGCCCACGCCGGGCCTCCTCTCTTTGAGGCTGTCAAAATAAGGCCGTTGGCTTTCCAGGCCCTCAGAGTCTCTGCTGGTTTTATCTCCTTCATCAGAGTCGTGGACAGAAGAGGAGTAAGATCGCCTCCCTTTGCCAGGTGCAGGGACTCCTGGTGGAGGCCTATGTGGTAAAATGTCACCTTTTGGGGTAACTACATCTCTTTTGGCAGCTCGAAAGCTTCCTGACCCTTCAAGTCTCCCATATCCCCAAGCCCTCCCCTTCCGGAGTTTGATGGCTTTACCTCTCCTGCACAGGGGCAAAGTCTTGGTCTTACTAATCCCATGCATCTCCAGGTACCTCTGCCTTGTGTCAACCCCTCCATCAGGACCCAGTCTGGGCTCCAACAGCTCCACATAGTCCCCGTCCAGCTGAGGGTGCCTCGCTGTCCGCCCGAGACCATCTTCGCTGCGCCTTCTCCGGGGAAGCGCAGGCTCGGAGTCCAAGCTGTCTGGTGGTAAACCATCGTCTTCCTCCTCATCCCAGGACCAGGAGTCCAGTTCTCCGGAGGATGAGCCACCCCAGCCCCCGAGGCTGCTGCCCCCCTCACTGGGCAGGCGGTTGGATTTGCTGCCCTCCTGGTTTGACATCAGGCCCAGCTCCTCAGAAGGGTCGTGGATGAATTTTGGGTAGACGACCTCCTTCCACGGAAGTCGAACCACTCCGTCACATGTACTGACCAGGCAGGTGTCAAGTCCTCCTCCAACTGTGCAAAGATAAGAGAGGATTAAGTTTCAAGATGATATATATATTGAGGGTATACATTACGCTTAAAAGGGCCATCCTATTTAAAAAAAGAAGATCCCAACATAAGCTACAGGGAAAACAAATGTTTAAACATTTGCTTTAACTCTACTGTTTTTATCACCACCCACCACCTGCTGACATCCATATATCTCTCTTTTCTCTTGTTGCCTTCCACATGCCATCCTTTGGTCATAAACCAAGCGTCTTCTTGCCATCTGTTTCACTTCCCTTGTTCTTCTTCACAGTCATACTGGCTACAAAGTCTTCATTACTTCCACCTACAAACCAGATTAGGAACATAAACCCTAAGTAAACCTGAGTGGAGTTTTCCTGACTCTTAACTTGAAATACAGAACAATAGTAACAGTAAAATCGGAAATTAGGAAAACAAAATGTCAATGAAAGTAGTGGGCATCCTTTCCTTACGTTCTCTCTTGTGGCCCCGTTCTTTGTTCACGCTGTGCAGCCACTCAGTGGTGAACACAAGGGGGTGCTGTGACTCGGGTACCAGGACTTCCTGAATGGTGCGCCCCCCAGGGGCCAGACATTTTAAAGCCAGCCGGGGGCAGCGTGTAGAGAAGGGCACCACCTGCAGGTAGAAGTCATTACTGCGCAGGATCCTCCAGTCCAGGGTGGAGAGCTGTACGACCACTTTCTCGCCTAAACACAGAGGCCAGCCGGAGTGAAGGAACAAGCAGCCGAGGTACTGAGACTGTGACGACAAGAGGAAAAAAGAAGCGTTGATGTAAGAAATACAATCCTTCACCTGCCTGCCAAGTCTTTAGGTTGCTTAGTGCACTCTCTCTCCTCTTGTCACAAACTATCCTTTAATGCTCAAGCTCAATCCCACCCCCCACCCCTATTCACAAACCACGGCCCACGTCAGCCAGTTGGAGCCAGCCTGCTTGGTTGTGTTCGGCAATCCGATGAGTCAAATTTCTAGAACTGATAACGCACCCGTCAACACTATTCACTAGCTCGACTGGTGAAAGCCCAGTGCCACACGCACAAATGTCGGACATGTGACTCACGCTGTTATTTCCAAAGTGTAAAGCCGCTTAGCTGGCATGACATAGTGAGAAGACTCTGGATGGATGGCTGCAGAGAGCTAGAGTGAGTCAGACAGAAACATGCAGATGACCACAACAAGCCAGCCACTGTGAAACCAGCCCACTGTTTCATGAGAGGAAAACACACAAAGCAGCTCTGTAAGACTGAGAAAATCAGTCTAAATCCAATACATTTAACAACATGGGTCTAAATATAGAAAATCCCACAATGCAGCATCATTGAACTCAAGAGCTCTGTGAATCTAGGTGAAGGAGAGAAGGCCCCGAGTGTGATCCCCTGCACTACACTGGTTTGAATAGAAAAAACACCTTATTCTCACTTTAATCAATCCTCTTTAAGCCCTATATCCTCTCTTTCTCTCTCCTGCAGCCTGAGGTATATAAGTCCTCCAGAAGAACTGGAGGACTCTCTGCCGTTCCCAGTCACGTCTAATCGACTGATTCGGGGCTGCTCCCTCCCCCCTCCGTGCCCTCCAGACTCACGAGACGTGATCAAATTATATTCCTTACTCGACCTGCCCTCCAGCTTCCCTTTTTTTTACCCTTGTCCCTTATTCAATTTCCCTCATTTAAGTCTCTTTTCTATCCTGTTCTCTTGCTAGGGCAACATTTTGGGGCCAGCACAGGTGGAAATTCGTGACTTTTCCTATCTTAAAACCTTTTTGTTTCTGTTTTGAGCCGGTCTACATTCTGTAACTCCCTGTGTCCCCTGGCCCTCCACCCTCCTATTACTTCTCCCTCAGAGTACCCCAGTGTTTGCTCCTTCTTCCTCACCTCCCTCTTTCACAGAAAATTCTCAATCAGTCTACTATAGTCTGCAACCTCCAGCATCTTCTCTGTTTTTCGGACGCGCACGCACGTGCGCAAGCATGCAGGCAATGTGAATGGAAGCCACGTTCATTTTCTCCTTCGACTCCCACCACATCACTCTCTCTTTCTCTCACAGCAGAAACACACTCGCATATGGAAGGCATTATTGTCATGACTCAGAGTCTAACTCCCGTCCCGCTCCACTCAGCGACAATGAAAACATAGTTTGTGTGTGTGTGTGTGTGTGTGCAAGTCTAGGAAAACTGTAAAGGGAAATATGAGACACTTCTGAGCCTCCGAGCTTGTGCTAAAGAGTGTGTGTTTATCTGTGTGTGTGTGTGTGTGTGTGTGTGTGCTTTGGAAAGTAAAATAAAAGGAATGCTGTTCAGTGTAAACCTCATAGCTTTGAGTTAAGTACATGTTGCATCTCATTTGTCTATCTCGTCTTGTGCGAGTGAAGCAGAAAGTGCAAAGAGAGTGATGTGAGGGCACCAAGTAGAAAGCTGCATAGTGTATCCTATATCATACTATTAACATGCGTTTGCTTTTTGCATGCGGGAACCTGAAGAGTACAACCCGAACTCTTTCATTCACGTTTCATTTCACATGTATTTCATTAATCTCTGTCGATTCGGTGGAGCCTCCGAAGGCAGGAAACCACCTCTTTTGTCTGCAGGTCACAGCGGCTGTTAAATCTCAAATTTCACCAGCCACTTTCTCTAATTTTACCGGCCAGCTATAGCTTTAGAGCAGACCCTCCACGGTGCAGTGAGGAAACGGTGCAAGGTCACACATGTGTCAGATTATAAAAGCCTTGAACTGTTCTTCACACTGGCGTGTTCATGTCACCAGTTACCGTGATACCACGCTGAAGAATTGACACTTGGATTCAGGGCACAAACACGAGGACCTGACACTGACATGGACTGGACTGCTGTGACTCACTTCAGACTTAACTCGAGGCTCGTGAGCAAAGTCATTCACATCAGGTTTTTACCTGCTAAATTCCCACCAGTGATCCCAAGAGTAATTATTATACGAGACCCGAGACTTGCCTCGGATTTGCACTTAAAGAAACCTAAAAACAATGGACGTCTCACATAGACTTATGAACTCACTTTGTATTTCAAACTTGACTTAAGACCAGTCTAGACTAGATTTGAGACTTGACCCCAAAATGTTATGAAAACTTGTGACCTCACTTGGACTTTCACTGTTGAGACCTGAAACTGACCTGAAAGACTTAAAAACAAGTTAAACCTTTAAAGTTACTACAATAAACTTTCTTTTTTCTTTTAGAAAACCATTCATTTTACTGCAGCAGGGTCTGACAGTCTGCTCCGCTCAGTCCTGGTTCTGGTTCTATCTCCCTTACCCTCCAGAATCCAACCCGGTGGCACAGGTGACAAACATTAAGAATAACTTGATGTTCTTGTTTACTTGTAGTCCATATCGAGGCATCAGTATTAATATAAGACTGTTTCATGACCAGTTCAAAGTTCCTCGTATAATAACGTTAAGAACACGTGTGACTTGACTTTGATTTAGGAATTTCAACTTGACTAGACTGCCAATACATACATCAAAAAGCTAACGGTTGACAGATTTCTCACACTCTACTTTCTTGCATGTTGACAGCTGATTCTGCTTCTGATTATACTATGTGTGTGTGTGTGTGTTCTCATCTGCAGTGTTTGCAGTTTGGAACTCACGCAGGCGTGCTGCTGGAGTTTGTGCAGGAGGTGCTTGGCAGGAACGAAGTAGTCCAGGAGGTAGCGAAGGCTGTCGTGTTGATAAGTCGACTCCAGGACGGAAAAGACCTGAATGAATGTGCAAAAAAAAAGGGGGCAAAAACACTCCAGTGAATGCAGCAGTATTCAGTGCATTTCATAATTAGATCCACAAAACAAAATGCTGTAGTCTTTATATATCCTTCATGTCTGGGGAAAAACTTTCATGCTTCTCGTGAACTAAGAGAAGCATAAGAGCGGCCTTTGTTTTAGCTACCTACATGCATCTTTGAAAGGGTTACATTTGTTCAAGAGCGGAGGAATTCCCTCAACCCAGACCGCATTTAATCAGAAAGGCTGTTTCATTTCATCCATTTTATTTCATCAAGTCATCAAGCAGCTGTTTCCATCGTGACAAAGACATTTGATTTGAAGCTACATGGCAACTTGGAACAAAAGCAATAATCAAATTCCCTTTAATGCAAACAGAGAATGGCCCAAAAGCTGAAAGGCCCCTTTGTCTTTGTGCTACACGCAGTAAAAACAAATGTGACTTTGGCACTCTGTGATGTTAAGTTGGAGATATTGGAGCAGGGTTAGCCAACACGGTGGCTACCCCAATGAGCCACCGCCAATGAGTCGCCCGCTCTAAAATTAGCATTAGTCATCGGTGTAGTCTGGTCTAGAAATAGCTTCAATGGCTTTGTTTTGTGGTTGTTTTCTTTTGAAACCTCAAAAAAGGAATTTAGGCTGAAGGGCCATATATATAGCTGGTATTTAACGAGCACTAGCGTCTTCTTTCAATGGTTCCCAATGAGGAGAGTGTATGTGGCGGCCTGGAGGAGCTGCGCTACACCCAGCTTCATTTTTCAGAGCACTCCGACATTTTTTGTGCAGCTGCTCTGAACACTTCTCGTTTTCTTCTTTTTTTTTCAGAAAAGAGCTGGTGTTGTCACTGGCGCTCCTTTTTCAGGCAACCAGTCACATATTAGACGGGGTCACCAAAAAGTGCTTCCAAGGCTCCCCAGCGCCCTGCCAGCACTTTTTTACCAGAGAAACATACTCTGTGATGACTTTCAAATAGCCCAATTGTTGGGATTAATAGCGAAACCATTCAACGTGCATGTTTAATTATGAATATCTGTGTTTTCCTTTAATGACTTGGTTGTTAATAATGATCATGAAGGCTCATTAACAGTAATCAGTGAACATAAACAGACAGTCTCCTAAAATATATAATCCATTAAATGTTTTAAATTCATTATTCAAAGGTAAACCAAGCAGATTTGTATTATTTGGGATGATTTAATCACTCAAGTAGCCCTCTATACTACTCTCTACTCTACAGGCAGCTCTCAGTCTCAAACATGTTGTTGACCCCCGTATTAGAGCCTACAAAGAGTTCCCATAATGCACCTGTGAGAGAATGCCAGCTCTGCTAGCCGAGACTGCTCTGTCAATGCTTTTGACTTAAAAAGCAGAAACGGTGCGCGGCTTTTGGTTAAAACGAGTCATGTGAAGCTCCTGTTTGGAGGAAGAGGGTTCGGCTGTAATTGGCCAGCTGGCTGGATTTTGTTTTTGTTGGCTTTCTAGCAGCAGTTTATATCCAGGGAAAGCACTGTTATCTGCACATAACATCCCTTTAACCGCATACTCTAACACCGCCCTATCAGTTAATTAAATCTGCATTATTTTTCTTCCCCTGTTTACTGCTCTAAAGATGTGAGACTGCAATAAAGGTCTGTGTGTGTGTGTGTGTGTGTGTGTGTGTGTGTGTGTGTGTGTGTGTCTGGGAGATGTATACCTGGGAGAGGAGGGGTGGTGCCGTGCTCTCAAAAGGAGGGTAAAGCGATGAGAGCGCCCCCTGCACACAATCCTCCATCGCCTCCGAACCCTGAGAGAGACACACGAAGGTGGTAAGAAAGGGTTAATCCATAACCGGACGCTGAATCAACTCTAATGTCTGTGTTTGTGTTTAACAGCCGGGTTGTCTCGCTTTTTTTGCTGACACACACACACACACACACACAGAGACAAATATACACCCACATTCTACTTTCAACTTCCTGTTGTATGGCCTGGGGAGTGTCAAACATTTCCTCCAAGGCCCAGTTAATGTAAGAACGGCCAGAACAAAAGAGTCAAATCACTGCAACATGTTAACTCCCTACACACACACACACACACACACAGATCATAACACTGGGCTGGCCTGTGAGGTGGAGGGTGACAGAGCAGAGCATGCAACACATACAGTGTTTATTTTTCTACATGGACCATTCGCATGGCAACCTGCAACTTTTTCCTCTCTTTTCCAACTTCTCTCTTTCACTCTCACATTTCCCCTCAAATCCCCCATTTGCTTCTCTTCCTCAATTTGCTGCCTTTTTAAAAAAATGATCTCCTTTGTTTCACCTCCATCTGACTCCATCTGAATGTCAGCCGACAACAATTACGCTGGGATTCTCCTCAACAGACGGCGTATTGTCCCGGGTAACTACAACAACCGAGGGGGATGGATGGAAAGCAAATGCGCGGGAGAACAACCCAGAATGGGAGAACAGAGTGTACGGAAAAAATGAAAAGTGCGGCTATAGCGAGAGAGGGGCCAGGAGGGAATGAGCTGGTGGTGGTGCGGAAGGTTTATGGAAGAAGATCCAGCTTCAACCGTATTGAAAATGATTTTTCGGGCTGCTGTTTGTGTACACAGAGGGTTTGTGGTTCACCTCAGAGGAGGACAGAGTGAGCAAGTACTGTCTCCAATTTACGCAACTTCGCCTGACAAATGCCCTGAGAAAATAAAAGTCAACATATCAAATACGCAAACTAAGGTTGAAACAAATGTCAAGACTTATTTGAAATTGAGTTTTGGCCCAAATTTCGGAAGGGAAGGGGGAGATCAAATGGACATTTGATCAAGGGAGAGAGCAAGCTGTTGTAGGGTGGAACACAAAAAGAAGTCACTGGGGGGATGAAAACTAAGGAGGAGAAAGTCTGAGACTCATAACCAGAGCAAGACACTTTAAAAACAAGCCACATCAGATCTACAAATCTGGTTTGAGACCTGCGCTGCTGAGGTCGCTCTGGGTCACTCACATCAGATGCTCGCTTCTGTTTCCTATCCGCTCTCTTGGCTGCCAAGCTACATTTTTCAACTGTGTCTTCAGCCCGCATGGCACCAACAAACAGAGTGGCACCGACGGGCTCAAATTCATGCAGCTTTACTTTTCCTTAGTAACGGGAGACACTTTGGTCCAGGAGCTACACATGGAGACAAATACAGACAAAACTTGCATTAATGTTGCTGAACGCAGCTCACTTTTCTAGAAGCAGAGCTGCAGCTCTTGGGTTATGTAAGTCCGGTGTAAACCCAACTTTACAGAAAAGTTAAGCATTGAAGTGTCGTGAAAAGACGCTCTATGCTCTCTAACTACTAACACACAACACAAATGTTGCATTATTTTTACAGGGTCGGTCATATTACAGTTGATGTAAAGATGGTCACGTGACAGGAGGGGGCGTCTCGGTGCGTATAGACTGCAGTAAACATCAGTCTGTCAGGGAGCATGTTGTAAAAGAGGTTTAAACAGCCTCCTGGCTCACTGACAGAACATATTGAGTCTAGTAAAAGCACAGCAGGGGGTTCAGGGGGTTGCAAAGCAAGCCAGCAGGAACTTCCTCTTCAAGACTAAAGCCCTTTTTTTAAAGCGTCGCACAAGACTTGAGTTAATTCAACACAACACTATATTAAAGCAAAAAAAAAAAAACAGTGGACGCTCTCTTATGTCTTTTGGTGTGTTTTCTCAAAGGCTAAAGCTCTTCGTGTTCCGTCAGAATCGACTGTAAACGCCGATACGCAATGCCTTGAGTGGGAATGAACGCTGCAGTGTGTGAGCCCAGTTGGCTCAGTAGAGCCACTCGGGATCAAATATGTGGCTCGTGCGCGGAGAACACGACTCCATGCACCGCTCATTGGTTACGTTAGTGTTTGGAGGGATAACCTCAAACCATGTTAATATTCATCCGCCTCCTATCATTTAAAAGTCGCGCTCATATCGAGACCGGCAGATAGCTAAACTCAATGTGGTTTACTTAGCGACGAGCTAGCTCGCCGGCGACAATATTTGATTTGGATGTGATGTACAATTGTCCCCCCCCCCCCCTGTTTTATTTCCTCAGCATTGAATCTGTGTTGGCATGCCAGTACAGCAGGATATTCCACTGCTAAAATGCAGTCTGCGAGCGCAATCACTCAAACACACAAAGGGATGATGTCAAACAGAGGAAGGAAGAGAGCAATGCTGCTTTTCCAACAAAACCACATAATCCTTGTTCAAATGTGAAAATTCGTTATTATTCCACAAAGAATTGTGTTAAAAACATCTGTGGTCTGGTTAGAAAGGTCAAGTTTGTTCATGTCTGCGTCACTCCCGTCTAACCTGTAGCTTTGGGTTCCAGTGCATCTAATGCATTTTGTCACTCTTCTTTCCCATCACAGGCCTGCGCATGCACATCAAACAAAGCAGCCCTGATGAAATTTGTAAATTAGATTTCCTACTCCAAGACAGAAGGAGCCTCTCACGTTAAAAAACAAACAAACTGGTGCCTCTCCTTTAAGGGACTAATTAAATGACTCTTCAATCGGATGCTTAATGCTCATGCACTCAGGTGTCTTACTTTTTAAAAGTCACTTTGGACAAATCTTTGAGTATGCAGTATAATGTACTGTAATGCAATGTATCCGGATATAGAGGCTTTGTTTTTATGCCGCAGATTTTCCAGCGCAGCCAGTGTCCCTTTGGAGAACAAGCTGTACGCACATTATCACCAAATGAAACCAAGCTAAGATGATGAGGAACAGATCTGAGTTTGACCGGGAACACGGCAGGTCAATTTCTAGGCCGGCTAGGAATAGATTTCACCAGAGAAGTGCATCAGTATTCTGATTTCATTTTTCTGATTCAGAGTCATGTGCAACATGGCACAGACATTTTATGATTTTACCAAATACATAGTCCACGATGCATTTTTAATATTAGCAGACAGGGGAGACTATTGAATGAAAACCACGTATCTCCAAATTCTGTGATTTTTAATGTTTCAGAAAATTTGAAGCATTAAGTGCTTTACGGGTTGAGAAAATCCTCAAATTTCTGAAGATAAACTAACCATCTAAAAACCCATTTCAGTATAAATGCATTGTCACAAAGCTGATTTTTTTTTTCTCAGCTCATAACAAGTTGTTGTTTTGGAGATGCATGTTTTTTTCACAGGATATTGCCTGTGTGATATTTATAGAAGTACTGAAATTCAGGGAGATTCCAGGAACTTATCACATGACCAAAGTTCCATATTTAGACTGCGTGATTACCACTGAGCTATCGGTGTCCATCAGACAACATGCAGTGAAAGAAGAAGACAGCAAATAGGGGTGTAAGGTTTTGTGATACTGTATCCATTTTTAAAAACACTGCGTCAATTTGGAATTAATAGTTCACATGCAGATGAAGATTTGTGGCAGATAGTGACTCATAATGCATAAAAAGTATTGCTATGATGTGGGCTGGACTGTGATTAATGCAAATGCAGATCTCACTGTTCTAATTGCTTAAAAAAATACTCTGATATTTTGCATATGCTGGTGGGTTCTTTATACTATGACAGTTTTCCTAAAACGTGATTTCAAAAATTGCAATATATATCGCCTTGCTTATGGTATTCCTATGTTCTCCGGGTCCTTAGTTCGTCAGATTTACATCACAAAGGGTCTCATGGTCCCCCAATCTGTTCTCATACCCAATTCTAAACATTTTAACGCTTGGCACTCGTCTCAGGGAACATATCATAGAGTTGAACATTCGGCCCTGGGAAAGTGAGTATCATGATACGTGCCGTATCGCCAGATTGTTGCCCATATACACAGCCCTCATGACAAAGATGTTTCTGGTTGTTTTAGCCTACTAATTGACGGATTACCTATAAACTGCTCTATCTTGCAACTGCAATCATATGTCCCGTCTCCAAAACTCACAATCCGGCGGATGACATCTTACTCACCGGATAACAAGTGTGTGTGTTTGTGTGTCGTACGGCACGTGGAGTGTCGGTAAGGACAATCGGCACGGTGTGAATGTACTTGTATCCTCCGGTTTGTGTCAAATATGGACACACGGTACAGAATCAGGGTATTCCTGCGTCAGACTTCCTGTCTTTCTCTCGTGTACGCAGACTGAAACGGAAGAGGCAGAAGCAAACTTCCATACAGATGCCTGGCTGGCACAGGGGGGGAATGCCAGAAAAAGAAAGAGGATGGACAAAATGGTTGCATAAGAAGACATGGTGGACTTACTGGTTTTGGATAGAGCCCGAGAACTGCCCCTTCATGTCAGTTCAGCTCATTGAAGTGTGAGTGACTTGAGAAAGGAGACCCAGACGGCTCAACAGAGACCGAGGGTTCAGACAAGAAAAAGGGAAAAGAGAAAAGAAAAGAGGAGGAGGCTGACCGGTGGGAGCGATCGATGGGAAACAAGAGCAGCAGCAAGCGTGATAGAAACCAGATGTAGAGCCATACAGTACACGAAGGACGGAGCAAGAGAGGAAGGGAGTTGGAGCAGAAAGGGGCCCGGGAGAAGATGGCATGATTAGGAGCAGAAGCGAGAAAGGTGCCGACAGTGAAAGAGGGAACAGAAAAGAAGAGGGGAGACAGGAAAAAGAAAGAGGCGGACAGACAAAGGGAGAGGAGGATGAAGAGGAAGCGAGAGGGAGAGGCCGTAGAGTGATTTCCTGTCCTAAATCTTCCTGCATAATCTAACCTGACCTACAGAGGGTCAAACAGCTTCTTTACAGATTGTTTTAGACTACTTAAGTGCTACAGTCTGTTGCTGAATAGAGCAAAGGCAAGTTTCACAGCAGACGAGATTTCACACTTGGCCTCCATTCGTGGTCTATTTGTGGTCTGTTACAAATGAGCCTGGTATTTTGTCACATTTATTAGCGTTATTGGTCTTCCTATGTGACATTTCCTGAGTCAAGCTGGCTCTTAGGCTTTGCTAGGCTGAGTAGAATGTTAGCCTGCTAGCATGAATGTCCCATCACATGCATGGTTACAACAAACAAATTTGGCCGATGATTTTACTGTTCGAAAAATACTTTCGACTAATGTTTTAGTTTGTTTGGTTAGTTGGTTTGTTTAGAGACGTTGGCCCGCTAAAACCAAACTTAAAGATTTAATAATACGAACATGATAGCAAAGAGTTGCATATTTACACATCCAGCTGACACGTAGCGACATTAGCATTCATTTGGAGTCGTGTTTCTCGCTACCTGCCTGTCACACTTGTCTTTCAACAGCTAGTTGCTAACTTTGTGTCTCTGCAGTCCGGTGCTGCTGATTGGTTGTTGCTTCGCTGCGTCATGAAGCAATGATGGAAGTTTAAACTTTGATTAGCAGTGTTCACGCCTGTCATGCAGCTACAGGTGTCGGCCGTCAGTTTGGCGCTCAATGTCATCGGCTTGCATCTAAAATGTCCTGCAGTCTGTTCGTGTTGTGAACGCAGCATGAAAGACGCTAAAATGCTCCGTAGAGCTGCGGAGTCAGAAGATGATTTTCTGTAGGTTTGTCACTACGAGCGACACCTGTGGATTTACACAACGCCATTTGATTTTGAACATTTAATGATTTTAAAACTGTTTATCCTATAGCTATTGTAGTCGTCCATCATTCTTTGGAGCTTGCTGTCATTTCCCTTATCCAAATTATTTTGAGCTGAATGTCACAATTATCCTGAGTTATTCGGATCAGGGTCAGTGTGGGTAATTGCTCCTAATTATGAATTGAGAAAAGCTTGGTGCATTTCCGCTCTTGGCCAATCAGGGAGTGATGACGCCATTTCTTTAAGGCTTAAGAGAGGAGGGGAACTGCACATCTAGGGCAATGCAAACCACATTTCAGCCGGTATTGTCAGCCAGAAACTCTGCTCTGCGTATGTCCATTTTGGGACTTCTTTGCTGTCTTAACTTTTCTGATTGAGGGGATTTTATGCATTTTGAATCCTAGCTGGAGGGAATATTCAAGAACACCTGCATCGGGGCAGACCTAAGTGCTATTCATGCCTAACACCCGCAGGCTTTATTTCGTTTATGGTTTATTTTCATTGATACCCGCTTCATCCACATTTCCTTATTATAGGAGAGGCATTTTTTTTATTATTAAAGAGGCATTTTATTTTAACTGAAGAGGTATTTTTTCATTGTAAAGGCACTTGTGAGATTTGTTCCTCCAAGCTAACATTTCTGTATTATTTGGTTGAGAACTGGTTCTCACAGCTTCTTCCAGATCAGGTGAAATCTGCGGAATCGTTATTGCCACACTATATCCCGGATCACAGGGCAAAAGTAAGGCATATTAAAAACAAACAAACTGCTTGGATGCCCAATAAAGATGCCAATGAAACACGAAAAGCGTCCATCCTCGGCCTGCGTGCCCGCGGTTTACGTCGGAGTCCTGACAATCGCAGGAAACTCGGTTAAAGAAAAGATTCCTGTGATTTACATCGCTCATCCTTTCTGGATTGTTCTACACGCTTGGTACTCCCAAACAGGTTCAAAACAAACACAGAGAATCGTTTGCAATAACTCTCATCAGACTTCCTCCCCATGAGGACTGGTACGTCCCATTAGAGTTTCAAAATCGGAGCTCACCAGACCAGGGAATGGAAATACCCTCTGCCACATATATTCTTGGCAAAGGTTTGCAGAGCGCGTGTCGCTGTGTGCCCACTTGTATATGATGCATTTTAACACCTATAGGTGCATGTGAGAGCTGCCATGTTTATGCCTTAGCGAGTATGCATGCACACATTCCTCATGTGTTAAGCGTTTTAAACTTCATGGACACATGTCTGTTTAGGTGTTATTCACTCTTTTGAACCTCCTGTGTTCCATTTCTGCATGTGACCTATATATATACGTGTATATATATATATATATATATATATATGTATATATATATACTCGTGCGTACATCTGTGACTGTGACTGTTTTCCACCCCTAACTTTCCCAACTGGTTCAAGAGGAAGGTGAAACTGTACTGCACATGTTCTTCCTTCCCTGAAGTCCATGCCATCCCTTGTTCCTTCCTTTCTCCTTTTTTTCTTCTTCTCTCCCCTTCTTCTCCAGGGTCCAATGTGGAAAATGTGGCATCACCGAAACCACCGTTGCTGCCGTCCAAGTCTCCTAAAATAAAAAAAAAAGTAACCCTACCCTCCTCTTTTATTCCGCTCTCTCCCCACCTCCAGCTCCCCCCTTTTTTTTGTCGTGTTCTCCCCGCCAAGCATGCTCCACCCTGCACCAGCACACAGAAGCAGGGGAATACGATCCCAAATCTCTCTTTGTTCATCTCTCTTTCTTTCTTTTTTAATTCAGTTTAAATGTTCTCATGTGTGCGCATGTGTCTGCCTGACTCATCTCCCCTGTCTCTCTCTGCCTCTGTGTGTCACTGATCAGACCATGAGCGGGCGGGGATGGTAAACAAAATCCCAGGGGACCCAACAGAGAGCCCTTGATTCAATCCACCAACGTCACACTGCTTAAATCATGTCATTACAATTTGCTGCCATTTGGGATTTGACAACTTTGTAAACCGGGTGTTATAAGTGCTGACTTGAGCTTCTTCCCAAATCAAACGCATATGCCTTAATGAGAATGATTAATGTAAAATATATCTTTAAAACAAGTGTTTTTAAAGCACATGTGGAAGTCTGTATGCACATGTTAAAAAAGCAGTTTAAAGTAAATTTAGGGCTGACAAAACTTTCAAAAGTCATGTTGCCATGGATCAAAAACAGAAGACAACAATGACAACAGATTTAATGGGAATACAGTTAAGCACACAAGCACGTTAAGTCCCTAAATTCGTTTTTTGGGGGTTTTAGAAATGTTTACAAGAAAAGATTTACTTTAAGCATTTTCTAGAAAAACTTGAGTTCTCCATATTTAAAGAAAGAGGGGGACTTACCATGACTTCAGTCAGGAATTCCTACATAGTCCTCAGCTCCTTCCCTGCATTTGCCTCCTCTTCGCATTCTCCGCAACAACAAAAACAACAAAAAAAGAAAAGTCTCTTATCAAACAGCCTCCATTACCTCCCTTTTCACCCTTCTTCAAGTAGGACTTCAGCGCGTGCAAACAGTCCTCCTCTCTCGCTCTCCGCTATGTTTCCCAGCCTGGGAATGTCCAAGCATGTTTTTTTTGTTTTTTTTCCCTCTCCCCTCTCCGTCTGGCCGGCAGTCCCACGCACTCCCCTCCTTCCCTCCCCTCCCCTCCTCTCACCTAACAAGAGCACTACAGTCCCCCTCTGCACTCAAACTTTCCATTTATCCCCCCTAGAGTAACTTAAATGAATAGACAATGAAAAAAGCCGTTACCCCACCCAGGCGTAGTTGCAAAACAATGTTTTATTTCTGGAGTTCTTTATTCTCATTGGGATATAATTAAGTCGTAATTTTATTTCTGATGAAAAGCTGTTGGTGCAATCACTGAAAATACTCAAATAATAGCTGCCTCTCTGACGTCTTTGACGGTGTTTTCGTGTGCATGCTCCAAAATAATGTCCCAGAATGGCACCAAGCGTTTCCACGCGCCAAAATTGCATTTACGAATAGCTTCTTCTTGGCGGAATGGATTTCCCTTCGGCAGGGGAGCTTGTAAACGGCCTCAATGAAGTGCATTCCTTTCATTAGGGTCATGGCCGTTGCCCCTTTGCCACCCATCCGACGGCGCAGGAGGGGTTAAAGGGCTGCTCCAGTGATATACTGTTACACTCCCTCAATGTTGGTGGGCATGCAGGGGACACATTTAGAAAAGAATGGTCAACATTCGGTTGATGCATAACGACTTTTAGTCCCTGTTTGGGTCAAGCTTTAAAAACACCCACGATCCTACATTTCCCTTGATGCAACTTATTACCATCTTTCGTCAGTGGTGGAAGAGTTGTTCAATTCATTTTACATTTTTATAAATTGATTATATGCGTTTTATGTTACATCTTAATTTGAATAGTACAATAACTACAGCTCTTGAAATGTAAGTCTGCAACACTGAAGTAAAATACAAGTATTTAAACATTGTACTTAAGTATAATGGAGTTAATATACTTAGTTACTTTCTACTACTGTCTTTCGTTAGACTTCCCCCGTGTCTTTTAAACGCTCGCTTTCTGTTAAAAATGGTGACGTCACGGGGGGGGGGGGCACTTTCTCAGACTTTGGAGAAGTCTTCAGAGCCACATAAGAAATTAAACCTCTGTTTTCACTTGCTAAATGGTGCTCGACGGGACAAATAAACTGAACGTCGTGTGTCTATTTGCTACACACATGTTTGCCAGGCTCAGTGGGTTCATAGATCTGAGATCAATCCCCAATAGTCTGATTTAAATCTGGAAATACAGAACATTCTTCATGGGATTAAGAGTGTCTGAGGATATGATTTACATCAAGCAGCATCTCAATGGGAAGTTTCATTCCGTGTGAATCATTGAGTAACAAACCCTGACACACTTATTGGACCCTTTAAAACAACGTAATCACTCACTTGGAGCTGCTGTAACAGCTGTCATTTTGTCATTAAAGGACTTATGTCCCCCCAGACAGATCATAACATACTGTGTCTTAAACCTACACTGTTACTATGCAAACCATGTGTTATTGCCACCCAGTAGACCCGCAGTAATTCAGTCTTAAACATAAAGTCACATAAAGTCCATTACTCACTATGTATTATAACTTTTAGTGCTGTTTTTGCGGCCTTTTCCTGTGACACACTGGTTGTTATATCATTGCCTAAAGTTAACCTCTCTGGTCTGTGTTTGGACTGCTTTAATGAGCCAAGAAGAGAGTCGGGTTTGAACATCCACTACAATAGGTCAGCAGCACCCCCCTGTGTTTATTGTGGGATATTGCAATAATGGAAAAAAAGGAGGAGAAAAACAAACTTACCATCGGCCTTTCTATCAGCAGACATTCAGACATTTTGACTTGTCACACTGTTCTATTCAAGTGTTGCAGTGAGATTGACGGCGAGCAAGCATGCACGATGCCAGGAACCTGAAGTCTAATCAGCCACTGTTCATTTCCTTATTTTATATAT